TTACCAGAAAAGTTTGGGAGATATAGTTTATCCTTATACCGGACGGGGAATCGAAACGATGAAATATTTGACGCCCATTACTGGATGGGGTATGGGGATGATCGGTTAATTGTAAAATTTTATATTGGGTTCACGAGTAGGGGGGACATCCGTATTGACCCCCAGGGGTACCACTCCGCAGATAAGAAATAAAAGTTATTCTCTTATTCTCTCATGCATAAAAGTGAAAAGTGGAATGGAAGTAGGCATTCATTGGTTTTTTTTTTGGAAAACTCGTTACAGTAAATATCAAACAAACGTTTTCAAGTTTAAAGGTATTCAAATAAAGTAAAGGTTTCATTAGTTGTTTTTCTGATTTTGACCAATCTTCAGTTTTTTGTATTTGTTATTAGTGTGATATTCTTTCTAAATCAATATAGTTCACTTTTTCATTAATCATTTCAGATCAAGGGGATCGAGATCTAGATCTCGACTAGTAAGAAGGTTGTGAATAGTTCACCTTCCGGACTCCCTTCAAGTGCTAATGAAAGTTGTTCTATGGTACTTTTGTATTCTTTCGTCTTCTTTGCATTTCTTTAATTACCGTTTATCTTTTAGAATGAATATTCTCGTAACCTTATTGAGTATTTTAAATTATTGTGTAAAGAATGTAAACACTAATTTTATTAATCGGTTCCACATTTAAATTATAAATTCATTTTCTTTAAGATTCTGGACCTTTATATATACAGATATATAATATATTTAATTATATATATACATATATAATTATATATATTTTATCTTTTCTTATTTATTTATTTATTTATTATTATATACAATAAAGTATAAAAAAAATAGATAATTTGATAAAATATATAACTATATCATACTATCATTGGAAACAAAAATAGATACTATTATCATACATTAATACACAATCTTTTCAAATATTATATAATTTTGACATTTCTATACTATGTATTTATCATATAATATCATACATTAATAAATTATTTTGAAAGTTATCCAAAGGGACCTTAGAGGAAAAGAAAATGAGGACATTAAAGAGGAAAAAAATCAAAATATTAAAGAATAAATAAATAAGAGAATTAAAAAGGAAAAGAAAATCAAGATATAAGGGTAAATTACACCCTCCATAATTACTTGTCTACTTCTTTTTCTTATATATGACTATAATATTCAATAAAGTACTTCAATTAAAAAAAAAAAAAAAAAAAAAAAAAAAGAACCAATAGCTTATAAAATGTACTTTAGCTTGAAAAGAAGTATGATTCTCTTTTGATATATAGAGGGGAAAAATTAAAAAATAATTCAATAACTTGATCATTTGATTCTTAAATTTATTGGGAAATTAATGAAATTAATTGTTCATAACTTTATTTGAAGTTTTCCTCTTTGTATTAATATAATTTAATTTTTATATTAATAAAACTTAATTATCTGAGTTTAATTTTAATGATATTAACATAATTAGTAGTAGTACTAATTCAAGAAAACAGGAGCCACATGAACCACAAACGCATGTAGACACGAATTTCCCACACGCTTTTATGTTATAAATAATAAACACTGGCACTCTTCATGCCGCAAAAACCTTTAAAAAAAAAAAAAAAAAGTTAGTTGGAAAAGTTCAAAGGAGGACACGTGGCATTCTGGGTGCATAGAATAATATACGAAACGACCTCATACAACCAAAGCTCAAACACATGTAGCCACGAGCTGAGACAGTCAACGACTCAAGCCGCATATAATTTGCCTATTTTGCATCATCTCATTCCTTAGAAATTAAAAAATAATAATAATAATAATAATTAATTAATTAAATTTTTTAGAGGAAGATTAATCATTATCTTCTTAGAAAAACAAAAACAATCGCGGCATGAAGCATGGAGATTTGCAAGTCTTATCTCCTCTCGTTTACTTTTTATTTTCATGGTTTAATAATCGATTTTTCAATTAGTCTATAATTATACACATAATTTTTTAATAAAAATTTGTACAATTAAATAATTAATTTATAAGTTAATAATAATATAATAAATTTTTATAAAAAAAATACATACAGTAATACAATCTAATGTCTAAATATAAAAAAAAAAAATAAAAATAAAAAATATATATTTAATTTAAATAATTACGCAAATAATGGACTAACCATTTCTTTTTATTCAAAATGAAACACTAGTAGTGAAAGAAATATAACCATACTAATTTCTACCTTAAGAAATATATATTTTTTATTTTTTTATTGGTTTTGTCAAAGATAGAGAATAATCAAATCATCATTTAAAACCATAATGTAACGTCAACAATTCTCTATATAAAGAGCTTTCTCTTGTTATCAACTTCGACAATCATCAACACCGTACATAACTCCCACCAACGACGACGACGACGACGAAGACTAAAGTCATCGTCGATGGCGGCAATTTCCACCACTTCACTCCTCTTCAAAACACTTTTCGTCTTCTTCGTCCTCATCTCCATTTTCACACCCGGAGCTCTTTCAGATCCCACTAACCCAGAATGTCAAGAAGAAGCCAACGACTCCTGCATCGACAAGGACAGAGCTCAAACCCTAAAAATAATCGCTATCTTCTCCATCCTTGTCACCAGCGTGATCGGCGTCTGCGCCCCCCTCTTCAGCCGCTCAATTCCGGCACTCAGCCCTAACCGAAACCTCTTCATCATCGTCAAAAGTTTCGCCGCCGGCATCATTCTAGCCACCGGGTTCATGCATGTGTTGCCGGATTCTTTCGATATGTTATGGTCGCCTTGCTTGCCGGAGAATCCCTGGCACAAATTTCCGTTTACTGGGTTCGTGGCGATGTTATCGGCGATTGTGACGCTGATGATTGATTCCATGGCCACCAGCTTTTATAGCAAAAAGAACAGTACTGAAATCCTGCCGGAGGGGAATAACGACGGCGGCGAGGGTGTGAACAGGGGTGATGTGGAGATGGCGGCAGCTGGTTTTGGGCATTCTCACGGTCACAATCATGGGCCCAAGGGCGATGAAATTAGTGTTGGTTCTAAAGAATTGCTGCGTTACCGCGTTATTGCCATGGTAAGTATCTTTCTTCGTCAATGTTGGTTTTCCTGATGTACACATATATGCTATTTATAAAGACCCACATATCCGGTCAAACCATACATAACAATGGAAACTAGATCGGCCGCAAATAAACCAAAATAAATTAATAAAATTTATTATTTATTGTAAATTTTTACAAACATATTAATTAAAATTATTAAATATATAATTAAATGTTTAGATATGTATATATAATTATTATTTTTAAAAGAAAACTAAAAATTTTAGTCGATTTTTTTATTTTTAACTGATCTAATTAAAAAAACTAAATAAACCAGCTATTCTTCTTTATGGGTTCAAAGTTTTTAATTGTTCTAATTTTGGTGACTAAATCTTAGTTAGTATATATGTTTTTGAATTAAATAAATATTTTTTAATAATTAAATTTTCTTAATTAAAATAATTATAATAGTTAAAAATATGATTTTAGATTTTTTTAATCAAAAAGAGATTAATAAAGATCATAATTACTTTTTTGGGATCATTTTAGGATCAGAAAAGATATTTTACTTTTAAACTTAAATATATAGTTTAAATTAATGTGAAACATTTTGATTATCATTTAATTTTTATTAAATTATATAATAACATAGCTTACTAATTTATGATTAAAATAACATAATCTGGAGTTAACAAAGATTAAGTTCTAAACGTGTCTAAGTCAAACTCCCACTTAGTTGGTAGTAGAATATAGAAATATTTTCTGGCACAGAATTATTATTGTGTTGGTCATGCACGGCACAAGTACATCTATAATTTCTTTATATCTTAACAATAAGTAAAAGTAATTATTTCTAAGACACACACATATATATATATATAATTCATGAACAACAATATATACACTATATATATATATATGTAGGTGTTGGCGGTCAAGCTTGATTATAAGGATAACGATGGTACATATAAATATTGGAAATTTTGTTTTCTTTTGCGATTTGATTTAGTTTAAACGTTCATCTAATTATTATTATTATTATTATTATTATCATAAATGTTAAACTGAAAGATAGTCAACTGTTATGTGAAATATGAATTTAAAAATGAAAACGTATTTTTCATTTGGTTTTGAAGATAAGATATAATTATTGTTTAAAAACGATGTCGTTTTCGGGATTGGTTGAATTTTAAAAACACGGATATGTAGAGTAAATTAATTAAATATTTATTTGTAGTAATTATATTTAAAAAATATTAATTACTTAGATTAATCATACTTGCTTAGGTACTGGAGCTGGGTATAGTGGTACACTCAGTGGTGATCGGACTTTCACTGGGAGCTTCAAACAACGTATGCACCATTAAAGGTCTGGTAGCTGCTCTCTGTTTCCATCAAATGTTTGAAGGCATGGGTCTTGGTGGCTGCATTCTCCAGGTTCAATTCTTTCTTTAAATCTAAATAAAAAAACTATATTAATTAGGAAGAAACAAAAAAGTAATTAGTATTGTGTATGTATAGGCGGAGTACAAGCTGTTGAAGAGACTTATAATGGTGTTTTTCTTCTCGGTTACGACGCCGTTTGGCATAGCTTTGGGGATGGCTTTGTCAACGACGTATAAAGAAAACAGTCCGAGATCACTTATAACGGTGGGTCTGTTAAACGCCTGCTCCGCCGGACTTCTCGTCTACATGGCCCTCGTCGACCTTCTTGCCGCGGATTTCATGGGTCCTAAGTTGCAGAGAAGTATTAAGCTTCAAATCAAATCATATGCTGCCGTTTTGTTGGGTGCTGGTGGCATGTCTCTCATGGCTAAATGGGCTTAATTAATTACTCCCAGAAACTCAAATAAATTTCCTTGTTTTGTTCTAAATTTTCTTCGCTGATCAACAATGTACAACAACGTCGAGTAGCTTTTTGTTTTTTGTTAATGAATCGTACAGGTGTTCCCCTGTTTCTTAATGCAATCTCAGATTTACATATACATAAATATAAGAATGCTCTATTATGTTTACGTATATATATATATATATATCATACTCTTGTCTGAATCTCAATATAAAAAAGCGTTGCTATAAATTCCTAATTTGTTCTAGTTTTAGATACTAGTGCAAAGCCTGATGGGTAGTTTGAGTTGGGTTTAATTCGGCCCAGGGGCCACATTTTTTTAAATTCATTTATTATTATTTTTAATCATTTAATTTTTTATTATTTTAAATAGTTTTACCATTAATTTATTGATTTTGTGTCAAATATCTAACTTAATTTTTGAAAAATATTATATGTGGTACTAAATATATATATATATATATATTTTATAAATTAATCTCTAAAATTTTAATTTTATTTCGAAAGGCTAACATTTATCAAGAATGTTGTTGGCCAAAAACATTTCCACTTGTGTTATTGGAGATTTTTCATGACCAAACTTTTTGAAGAAGAAATTCCAGAAAGTGTTTACTTTTCCCATTTTCACTTCCACTTGTCCCATACCATTTTCCATCCCTTCAATCTTTTTCTCCATGCAACTTGGGAACCCTCTAAGCACAAATACACATCCTTGAATACACTTCACCATTTCTCTTTTTCCATTCTTAGTGGTGAAACATAGTTTCTTCATAAGCTCTCTCTTTCCCCCCATGACGCTTCTCTCCAATGGTGGCCTTACCAATTTGGTCCCACGTGTAAGTTCTCTTTGCAGATTTTTGGTATAAAGAGATATTAAAGAAAGAGAGATGCAGGATGATGAGGAGGAAGACAATGGACAGCTATTTGACTACCTATTTTAGGGCCTGTTTTTATAGAGCAAATAAGGTATTCCAAATAAGATACAATAAGTCTTGTAACAAGCAGTACCGAAAATTTGATTCGGAATAATTTAATATTGTACAAAATAATAAACAAAAACAATTTAATTTTTTTAATCTTTGTTAATTTTCGAGAAATATGGATTTGAGATAAAATTAAAATTTATTTTAAAAAATATGATCAAACTATGAATAAAGATGGGTGCATTTGAAAAAAAAAATTAAAACAGGGGGTCAAATCTCAAATAGGAAAAATACAGGTCACGTGGAACGACCACGTCAGCAGCAATGACGAGTCAGAATGCGCCGTGTGACAGACACACTGGCACCAGTTCCACATGGGAGCCACGCGAGCGATCCACGTGCCTAGGAGATCCAATGGTACAGATCGTACGCACGGACGACCCAGATCTATTTTTTTTTCAAACGCGATCGAACGGCTGAATTTGATCGTGATGGACAATCCAAATTTGCACACAGATCGACATAAACAGGCTTCGATTCAGACAGTCTTCATTGCTCCACATCAACGCGAATGAACGATTAGGATTATGAGAAGATAAGTATTTAAACCTCTCTTCAGTCGGCTCCCGAAACCCTAGCCGACGCCCCTGGCCAAATAAGAAGAAGAAAGACAGCCAGAGGGAAGCTCACCCATTAGAGGGACGCTATCGTCGCCGGACCAGAACCACCACCGACGTCGAAAAAGGTAAAAAAAAATTTCTTTTGCTCGGAATTGAATTTCAAACCTCCCCACACCCATATCGGAGCAAAAAGAACAATGTACAAGCCATAAAATGCGAATGAAGCTCAGCCGAGCTGTCCCAATTGCAATCCAAAAACCTCTCCGATGACTCCCTTCCCGTTTTTCGTTTTTCTCAATTTTTTTACCATCGTATTCCTCATTATTTTCTGGTGCAGGTTAGTCGAAAAAAAACTCCAACCGCAACGGAAGAACGAAGGGGCCGTCGCACCGAGAGACTCCTCCACTAGTAGGATCTCGGTTTTCTCCTTTTTCAGCCAACAAAGGCTCCCAAACCTTATTTTTCCCATGTTTTCATGAAAAATCGGCCAAAAATCGGCCTAAATCGGCTAAAAATGGCTAGGCCAAGAGGAACTGCCATGGCGGGTGGCGGAACCGGCAGCGCTATCATGCCGAAAGCCTAAACCGGCTGGAAAATTTCAAAAACACTTAATTTGGCCTTTTTAGGGTATTTTTCAATACATGACGCATTTTTTTTTTATTTTCACAGAAAAAATCCAAGAAACTCTAGAACTAATAGAAGGTGCAGTGAAAAGAACGGTATTTCAAACAACGATCCAGGGTAAGAATCTCTTATCCTTTTCCCCATTATGATAAATTAAAATTTAATAATTAATAATGGTGTGTTTTTTAAAAAATTAAAAAATTTTAAAAATTAATTACAGACAGGTCACTAGTGGAGACGGAACCAGTTAGTGTATATTTATCTTAGCTTTGTTGTTTATTCTCTCCTATACTGCCTAAAATGTTTACTGTTACATCGTGTATTTTAATTTATTGATTTTAATTACTTTCTCGTTTATTTAGTTTATCTGCCGTCGTGTTGTCCTCATCCGTTGATTTGTTTGCAATAAATATTTAATTATGTCTCTCTGAATTGTTAATCTATTAATTTATACTGCTTATATAATTATCACTCTATTGTTCTGTAAAAATAGAATAAGTTAGTTGCGTGTAATTGGTGGCTAGTGAATGATGTAAATATGTATGCTAAATGGCTTATCAAGTATCCTGAGTATAGGTGTACGACCTTGCGCATATGAAAAACTTATTGTGGACGTTAGCTCAGTCGAATGGAGTTGAGAAGTCCAATACCGGAAGGGGTTGAGAGGTATAGATCACTCTCATACTAGACGAGATATCGAGGTATTGGTATCTTTGACACCCATTACCAGACGAGGTATGAGAACGACTGGTTGATTAATAATTATATATTAGGTTCACGCATAAGGAGATATCCTTATGGATCCCCAGAGGTACTCATAAGCAGGTTAGAAGATAAGTTTATTACTATTATTCCTTTAAGTGCGAAATATAAATGTTATTCGGGTTATTGTTTTTATAGATCGATTTTAAAAACTCATGTGAGGATAAGTGCTTCAATCTAGTCGTACATAACTATTCTATATCTGGGTGTATTGGCGAAGTGATAAGTGTTTACCATATATAACTATTTCATGTTCAGTTGTGTGGAAAAATAGTTTAATCTGTGTGCCTTAACCGTTCTGTGTTTAGAAAGTAGCAATGTTTCAAGGTATTCATGTATGTCGTTCTATGTTTGGGTACATGGAGAACTAGCGATAAGTATCTGTGCCTATACATAACGTATGGTAATTGATTGATCGTTTATAATAATGATGAAGTATACAATTTGAATCTATTTTCTAATTTATGTTTTCATCTTCTGTTCCGTATCTATTTTGAAAAGATTATATGATATATGTTTTGTTGTGTGTTAAGAAATAATATATTGTGATTTCATAATATCGCTTATTGAGATATTTTATCTTACATCTATCACCATCCAGATACTTAAGGTACCGCTGCAGAGTGAGTGGTGATACGGAGGAAATTTCTGAAGTTAGACTCTGATATTAAAGTTATTGTTTCGTACTTTTATTTAGTAATGTAAGTAAGAAAATTTAAAGTCTCGTACATGTGTTTATGTTTTACATTTAAGTCATCTAATGCTTCTACGATTCTTTTATGATTAATAAAATTAAGTTATTTTTCTTAATTTGAGTTTACATGATTTAAATAAGTATCATCCGATTATTACCTTATAAGATGGGATAATGATTTTTAAGTTAAACGAAGTTATTTAAAAAGAAATAATAGCTTAATTGGTTGTTTGACAATTTCTACTAACCTTTGATTTTCCGTATCGGTGTTAAGTGTGATATTCTTACTGGGCTAATGTAACTCATTCTTATTATTTAACCATTTCAGATCAGGAAGATCAAGATCCAGATCCTGAACAGTAAGAAGGTTGTGAATAAAAGTTGCCTCCCAAATTCCATCAGAGTTGCCCATTGGAGGTTAACCCTATAGGATTTTTAGTTATGTTTTATTTTAATTATTTATTATGTTATTTGAATTTCTTTAAAGAGACATTCACATAATTTTATTGGGTATTCTGATTTATTATGTAAGGAATGTAAACCATAAACTGTGAATTGTTTCCGCTTTTCTTTTACTAATACAATATATATTCATTTTCTGAAAGTTTCGGGTCTTTATAAATTTAGTTTTTCGTATCCTAAATCTAGAAGTTATTTACAATTTAAAAGAAAATTAAAAGCTCGAATACTAATTTAAAATAAAATATTTATGACTAAAAATGTAATATTAATCATAATTCCAGAACTAAATCGAATATTTTTTCTTTTTTTTTTTACTATTTACTTTATTAACAAAGTTATATCTTTAATTTTCTTTTTTAAATCATGTCATGTTTAGGCTTAAATTCATATTAACGATATGCCATATATAGACAAGCCAAAACTTGCTCAAATTGAGTTGTTCGACTTGAGTAACATTGTTCAAGCTTGCCACATTTATAGGCATGCTAAGCTTGAACTGTTGATTGCTTTAAAGGGTTTGACTAGGTCAACATGTATTAAGCAAGTTTGGGTTGACCAATGAGCCACTCTCTTGATTTCTCATCCTTAGGTCATCATATCAAGTTCATGGATGATTTAGATTTCAAGAGAATCAAGCTTGAGTTCATGTTTAATATTCAATTACCAAATCCAAACAAGACCTATATGCATTATATAGATATATATATTTAAATTATACTAATAATGTATAAAATATATAATCTTATTATTTTATATATTTATTTTTTATTTAATTTACATTTAAAATTATTTAGTCTTAATACATATTTTGAATTTAATATAGTTACAGTTGATTTGAGTATTCTAAAATCTTATCTGATAAGTGGATATAACTTTTCATTTTAATATGCATATAAATCATTAATATAAAATATAAAACTAAATTTAATTTAAGTTGACTGAAACTTTATTTAAACTTAATATATTAATTACTAATAGTGACAATAATAATAATAACATAAGTGATAAGAACTGTCAATAAAGTAACAATAGGAACAATAATAATATCA